AGTGATACCGATGGTCTGTAGGAAATGTTTTAAACATTGCAGGTCAAAATATCCTTGCGATTCATAAGGAATTCCGACAACAGAGAACAACTTTGGAATGTACTTGAAAACCTGTTTGCATGCTATCCCTCCCTCGAAACCTGTTCCGTTTCTCTGACCATATATGGAGCACATTGCTATGGGACCTCTAGCCGGTAGTTTCACGGTCAGTGACGGCACCAGTCACTAAGCATGTGATCGATTTCTGTCAATGGTAAAGACCCCGTCTATCACAGTTAGAGGAAGATGGCCACAATTGATCAAGTATTTACCAATGTCCACAACAGAAGCTTAGCAAAGTGAACATCATACGCACAAAATCAAAAACTGGACATAGCTATGGAAGAAAATGCAAGGCCTATCTGAGCAACGATTCAGAAAAACGGTAAACACGTGTGATCAACTGCCTTGTGGCCGAGTGGGTGGCATAATTGCGTCTTGCCTGTGAGGTCTCAGGTTCGATACCAAGTTGGGTCGATGGATTTGCACTGCTGATCGGACTCAAATAGAAAGTGCTCCAAGACGCATTGCTGCTCTGGCAACAACCCATATTGCAATGTGGCAATTATTCTATTCTATTCTTAAAGTAAGTCTGCAATGATCGTGAATTGAGCTATATTATTATTTACTCAGTCAATCACGATGGTCAGCATTATTGATTGCGTAGTACCTTGTTTAAATTGAGTTTCTGCAATACAAACAGAACGTTAGTTCTGAATCGGTAGTCCGGACAAATAAATTTTAATATTTTTATACAGCGGTTCACGAGCGAGTTATTTCGGGCTATCATAACCTAAAGGCATTTCACGGATTTTTTTTAGGTTTTGTGTTAAGAAGGAACGCGTTCAAAACATTTTTCAGTGGATTTTATGTTCAAATTCGAAGCGGATATTAGTGTGAAACAACGAGAAATGTATCGATATTTACAATGACTGATCGCCGTAGGCGACCAACATTATGCTATTGGTGTTGGTAACTCACAAACAAGAACAAAGCTGTTTTTTCTTCTTCTGTAAAAGATTCTAATGCGCCAATTTTGGAACCCTTTCTTTTGATCCACCCCCAAAATTTCATTGCTGTCCCGAATGTAACAGATATTGGGAGTAGGGTTGGATAGGGTAGGGTTGCGTGGGGTGGGGTGAGAAGGATGTCAACATAAATAAATTATGATAGATTCTGGGTGTTTGTTTTGTGTATAAGTGTTTGTGCACGATGTTTTCTGATCAATAAGCATTTCAAATATTTATGAAGATCAATTAAATGTGACAGAATAAATTAATACTTGTTAGCCGATTACCAAGACAAATTGAATATGATCTGCTCAGTTTCATAAGCCTGCAATGATTCAGCACAATTGAAATGAACCAGTGTTCTAAACAATCGTGAGCTTCATTTAAAATTGAAAGCTCTTTTACGAAGGGTTCCACCTCTGTGGTTCTATTTTACTGTCCCCCTTTTGTGAATCCCAGTTGTAAACTTTCACTTTGGATGAGGTAATCCAAAGCCGCTGAACAAAAAGTGCGGCGATTACTGTTTGGGGCTAACGATTATAATTGTTTTTCATTCAATCCCTTCGAGTGCATGGGTAGTAAGTGCCGGACCAAAAAGACTATCCAATGAAAGAAGCGAACATATATTTTCCGTGACTTCCTTTTCACGCCTCTACAATCACATTTGTATGAAACAATTTCAATACGGTCAAACAGAAATATAGATGAGTCATGTGTTTGACAATCAGCCCAAGAGAACTCAAAATTTGTGCGCATTTTGGATCACATAACCAAAGTCGTTGCGTCAGTGTTACGCCATGGTCGCGTGAACAAGCGTTTTTCTTTTCCCCTGGCCAGGGGAATTCGACAGTTGAAATCAATTTGCGTTCTGCTCACAGATCAGGCTTCATGAGTCGGGTGCTGATCGCCTCTGCGATTGTGAACGTCCGAAAGATCCGAATCTTGAGGGTTGTGGTGAGAATCGATAACGAATTCACCGAACACATTTGTTCGCCTACATTGTGTTCTTAATCAATGGACCTTTTTCCATGATTATCCATTGGTATCTTATACCTGCGTAGACGAACGAACTGACTGCGTGTGAGGACTTTAGAATATCTGCGTTCAAGGGATATAATCATCGTTGAGGGTCTGTGCTGATCTAAACGAACCAGGGTGTCATCTTTTATTTTCATTAGCAAATCTTGTTAGTACTATTGTATTTGTGACTTAATTTGTGTGCGGTTGATCTCTGATTTTCTGTGTTGCTGATCAGCTGCAACACGTTTGTTTATTGTTTCTCTGACAAAATCATTTTTATTTTCGATGTGTTGAACAATCTCTTTATCACAATAATGTTGGGGAGTGTATACACAGAATGGCCAACGGCAATTACCAATATAGTGTCTCCGTTAGGAGTTTACTGAAGTACATTCTGTATGACGGACAAAGGGCACATGGAACCAGGTAGTCTATCAGCCATCCCCGACTTACAAATTTCTTGCAGAATTAGCTAACCCATCACTGCGAAGTGTAATGTTCCCAACCAACCAACCAGTTCGATCATCTGATGGACAGATCAACTCATTGAACAAATTACTTCCTTGCATGATATTCCCGGATTAGGTGATAGCCGATTAAAATCCATACTGCTTGCCTTTGAATGAGTTCGCAATATGGAATTATTGTGACAGGCACGATATTGTGCGAACATTAGCAATAGCGATACCCTCAGACTAATTCAAACAGTACAGCCCCGAGATCTGCTCTTCCGAGAAGAATAGCCTTTATTTGATCATAAGACTGAGGGAAAATATATAATGAAAATACGGAAAAACAATTTCTGTCCTTTTGATGGAGTTTTAATTGAATGATTTAAAAAAGTGATTCCTTAGATTAAGTTTGTTTTAATTGACTAGGGAGTGTGTGAAGTTAAATCAATTCTTAACATCTATTTCATCAAAAGTGAAAAATACATTACGGAACGTAAAGTCAAGTAGCATTTTAACATAATATTGGTGGTTGGCTCAAAACCATGGAACTTACTTTGAATAGTTGAAATCGAACTGAGCACTGAAAAAAACGGGCAAGATGAGGCAAAAACTTGTAGCCTGTGGAGGGGAATGTTATTTTGCAAACAATGTTTGAATATTATGAATAATTTTAGCTGTTTTTGACTTAGCACAAAACTCCTCTTTCAAGAATGAATGACGATCCTCATTTACATCTCTGATCAGCTCAAACGCCAAGCTACCATGTGCAACTATGAGCACGCATTACGTCAATTTCGCGTGGAGTCCGAAATCAATCTTACCAAATTTATTGCATCACTGGATAGTCTCACAAACGCATTGAATTTTGCTGTCACGCAAACTACCGTGAGTTGACAAACACTAAAAAGCGTTTGCAATTTTTCACAAAATAGAGAAAAAGCATTCAAGCAGCAGGTAAAGTTTGTGGTGATTTTTTCCAAACCAATATAGAGTTTGCAATTTTGTAAACCCGTGGGATTACATCTACTCAAATTATCTATATATGTATATATGCAATGGTTTTTCAGACTAATACGAATTACATCTTCTCTCCGTTTGGATGTACTCGATTTTTGGCCATCACAAGCTATTCTAGTTGTTGTTTTTCCATGGATTATTCTGTAAACCGTGCTTCTGTTATCGCAAGAGGATTGAGCAAGTTTCAACATGGCAAATCAAAGCTTGTGCTCTTTTGTAATTCTATTTCTGTCCTCTTCACTGGGATAACTAGAACTTTCGATTTCGAGCGCTACTGGCTGCATTTTTGTGAAAACAATACCAACGTTCAAATCGCACACGGAAATGACCTTGATTTTAAGGTTGAATTTGAAGGAAACGGGATTTCAGTGAGTCAGCTAACAATCGTACAATATTATTAATTAATCTTATTTAATACAATTTATCCGGGTTGTGAAGGAATTTCATTTGGATATTCAACAAAGTTGCTATTACGGATTATACATTATATGACATAGTGCGTTATAACCAATCGCTTAGATGAAAAGGGTTGATGAAAATTATTTGAGATAATTCTTGGGACGCTCCGTTTAGAATATGATATTTTCATATTTGATAACATTCACAATTTTCTTGTTGAGATTATTTTATCTTCGCATCCACGGCCACGAACGTTTATTTGACAATCATGCAGCCTTGAAACTTTTTAGGTCGAAGTTAATAATGGATACCTAATTTTTCATATCTAAGCTAGTATATGAATTGACAAATTTAATGAAAATGAATTTATTCAGAAAGAAAATATTTGAGTGCATAACAATGGATCACTACTGTATATCGTTTCCCTCTGAAGTTATCTCGTTGTACACCCAGTACATGTTTTATCATTTGATCTGCATTCTGCAAGGCAATCACACTACATAGACAGACAATGCACACATCCGAAACAGTGTAAGTCTGGTACAGAGATTTCGGCATAAAATTTACGTCCTTATTTATCTAACCACTCGGTTGTTTAGGATTACCGCGAGGAAAACCCTGTGACTTCTCCCGAGGGAAAAGCCTCAAACTCGTTTCTCAAAATGGATGTTTTTTCGTTGTTTTTTGTACAACGTACTTCAATGTTGAATTATAACCAGTAGACAAAAATGACAATGATAGTATAGTTTGATGAAAGGCTTTTTTGGATCTAATTGCATAGCTTATTTCTGTCAAATATGACCACTTTTAGAAAATCGTTTTTGATTTTATCATTCAAATGCTGTCAATGTGTAATCGTTTGCTATAGGTGACGAAGGTCAAGGATTTTGTAACATCATCCTGGAAACCGAGTTGGAATAAGGGTTTTACGACTCATCTTTCCGGTTTCTATACTTCTCATGGTGGCCTCGAATCCATCGGAATACTTATTATTATAAATAGTTTACACCGAAGTTTTACATCCAATAAATTCCATAGAATTGTTGGTAATCAATGAACGTACTTTCGATTGCTATTCTTCCCGGTGGAATTTGAAATTCGCCGGATATTTTCCTTCTCCATTTCTCCATTAACATCGACAAAGATTTCTCGGTACATTTCTTCACGTGATCTGTGATCAAATCCACCTCGCGCATATCCACATACACACTGAACCGGATCGATCCGTCCGTTTCATCCGAACGGGAGTGACAGCCACGAACGGCAGATTTGAAGGACATTGAAACAAACGTCAGTTGGTTCAACATCTGGATGAGAAAAGAGAATTGTAAAGAATAGTCAAATTCTACCATAGTTTCTGTAAACCATTCAGCTGACTTGTTTTCTTTCGGTCGCTTGTTCATCATTCCAAACGTAAATTGAACTAGACAAATGATTTTGACACATCGGATTGGTTTAGTAACCGTGAATAAAACGGTAGCTGGCTATATTGATCAATTATTTTGCCAAAAATACCAACTAGAAAAACACTCATAGATCAGTCAAAACGGACATAATTACGAGTGTGTCTAGGCTCAACGTAATTGTATAATAGTTTCCAGTCAAAGCTCTTTGTAAACAAAGGATTAATCTAGTTGTTCTATTTGTTCCATCACGACGATACTGCACCTTGACGTGGTGTGATGGTTTGTGCACCTCTCTGACCCAACGAGCTATACAGGATGGCTTTTGTCAAGCCGCAGATCTAATCATGCCTGGAAGGTCAATGGGTAGAGGTCAAACGAATTCCAGTCTCCCGGTCCTCCAGGTTGGGGGTTCGACTCGAGTTAGTGTCTCAGTCGGTAAAATGGTAGAGAAGTAAATGATCCAAATAAATGGGCCTTCAATTCGCCTTACCCGTTGGCCTGCGGTCAGATTCTTGTCAGAAATAAATACTTTGGTTGAGAACCCTAATCGTTCTCCAGCTCAGTGGCTGGACACCCTGGCAGTACCTGTCCATCAAACTCAAATGCCTACACAACCAAAAAATAATTCCATACTGCATCGGTAGTCGCGCAGGATAATCAGGACCGCGCGGTCCATTGCATCAAGCGGGGTGGGTAGTGATAAGTAGGCTACTGCTCAGATATCCCAACCTTTGATTAACTCTTTGTCTTCCGCAACCAACCCTCTCCATTTACCCCTTCTTCCAACCCGTAAAATTCCCTCGGACAACTTGTTGGTCACTCGCCAAAGTTCGTTGCCAAGTAGCTCGGTAAGTAGTTTACCACAAAATAGATTGCATATTCTAAAGCTTCGGGACACTTTAATCTGGGGGCCCTCAACGTGAGGACTCTGATGCAGTTAGGTCAACAAGCATGTTTGGCGCGTACAATGGACTCTTTGGGAATGGATGTCTGCTGCGTGTCGGAGACTCGAATTCAGGATCCTAGTACTATATGCCTCTTAAGTGCACCGGGGTTGTCTTCGAGGTTCTTCCTCCGCACGTCAGGTGATGACGAAGCCCTTTCAGTAGGCCAGCGTGGTGTGGGCATTGTACTGAATAATACAGCCGAAGCCACACTACTCGATTGGATCCCCGTCAACAGCCGCTTATGTGCGATGCGACTCCAAGGGTCTATTAGCGTCCGGAAGAAAAGCAACACCAAAAGGTGTTTATTCATCACTTTAGCGTATGCAAATGCAGTTGTGACGCCCAAAAGGATGCGTCTTATGTTAAACTCACCGAACTCATTCGGTTGAGTCGAAACTCCAATATAGTTATTCTAGCAAGTGATTTCAACGCTCAACTTGGAAAACTGAGCGCATCGGAAGCTTGCTTAAATGGTCATTGTGCTCTGCCCTGCCGGCGAACAGATAATAGCGATCGACTTCTAAAGTTCTGCGCAGACCATCATTTGTACCTATCCAGCACCAACTTCCGATATAACTCTTAACGGACAGCACTGTGGCGCTCAAATTCAATTGGCACGCTAACTCATATCGACCACATAGCAGTAAGTTACCGTTGGCGTGGCTCAGTACAAAACTGCAGGTCCTATTGGGCCACCTGCGTTGAATCGGATCATGCGTTAGTTTTGATGCAGTTCACTCTCCAAATCACAGGTGGCAGAGAAATTCCACCAAACCCGATTAGCAGATCATCGCTTATCTGAACCAGCCGTTTGTGTCCGTTTTGAATCAGAACTAGGGCAAGAGATAAACGCATTGCGGGGTGGTAGTGTAAATGAACAACGGGATCAGATTAGCCGAGCAATGCACTCCACAGCGAAGGTTGCTTGTGGATCTGAAGCAGTAGCCCGCCCGAAGCATTGGATATCTGACGAATCAGTAGCACTGATGGAGAAAATACGGCAAATCTTAATCGCCCGCGATCAAGGCAGGGTTAGGAGGTGCCTACAACGTCATCTCACGAGGAGCCTCAAGAAAGACCGTAAGAACTGGTGAGCAACGATAGCTAGTGAAATGGAAGTAGCGGCTGCATCAGGGAATACTCAGAGACTGTTTCAGCTGATGCGCAAAACGAGAGGTCAGCGAACCACAGTTAGTGAAACAATCTGCGACAAAAGTGGGTAAGCTATTCACAATAATAAACAACGGCTTTACCGGTGGGCGGAGTGCTTCAAAGCTTAGTTCAGCTGGTCAGGCGCTAACCAGGCTATCTCGTCCGATGTAGCTGAGACTCCAAGGACATTGCCATTTAACCCTCCTACTGCAGGAGAAGTTTGTTCTTACATCCAAGCCCTGAAGAAAGGAAAAGCATCAGGGCCAGACGGGCTTCCTCCCGCTCTTTTTAAGATGGCGGGCGATGACCTTGTAGACTCCATTACTGATTTAATGCGTAACGTCTGGTTATAACAGCGCATTCCATCAGCCTGGAGCAAATCACTGATCGTTCCAAATTTTAAGAAGGGATCTCACAATGATTGCGCAAACCACCGTGGAATTAGGTTGATCCCAATCGTCACCAAGTTACTAGCCTCCATTATACTTCTACGTCTGACACCGTTGAGGGAGACAAATATCCGCGAACAACAAGCAGGATTTCGACCAGGTCGCGGTTGCATCGCTCAAATCTTCATCCTGCGTCAAGTCCTCGAGTTACGCCATACGCACCGTCGACGAACGGTTGTCGTGTTCCTTGACCTAAAAGGAACCTTCGGCTCAGTTGATCGTGAATCCCTTATGGTTTCACTCCTTCGCAAAGGAAGTATGTGAATATATTGAGTTCACTCCAGTCACATACTTCCGGTAGCGTTAGGGTCTACGGCGAGCTGAAGAAATGGACAAAGCGATAAGGTAGAGTAGGTTTCTCCCCTTTTCCGGGTTGGGGTCCAAAAGACTTCGAAACCGTATTTGTCATACCTTATCGCTAGTTAACGAATAATATTTGAAGAGTTTGAAACGTCAAGCAGTGGACAAAAATTGCGAAATAAATTTGACGAATAAGTTGTCGTTTGATGCTCAATCAAACAGTAGCTAGAACTCACAACGTCACAAAAATGGTTGAATACTCCGTACAGGCTTGGGTTTTCGCTCATTTTTGCTGCTCCTCTGAATGCTGGGTCCGATATTTTCACTTGAAAAACTTGGTAATTGCGGGAATTGAAGTTGAATTGGAAGAAATCAAATAAGACCAGATGAGGCATAAATTTGGGAAGTTTTGGGAATCTCAGCTAACCATAACATAATTTTAACCGCAAGAACGCTACAGTTACACATTCTGAGTATCCTTTATTGTAATCGATTTTGAAGTAAATGTAGACTGTGAAATGTTGAGCAGAATCAATCCACCGCACTTGAGAGGAACATTCCTAGTAATACCAATTATAGTCTTCGGTTTTATTTTTGAAATAAAGCTTCTGTTCCATATGACTCTCACCCATCATCAAATTCTGCCCCCAAACTCGCATGCCAATGTTTTGTAGAAAACTCACGAGTGGCCGTTCGATAAACAGAACATTCTGTTAAACATGACTTTTCAAAACGATATGCCATTTGGTTACCCACCCAGAATGCCACACTAAACGTTTTTGTCCCCATGTTTTCATATTTTATTGCGATGATTTGGGACTATCGTAAAAAAGTGTGTATTCTTCCCTATCGGCGAGTAGCCCTTGAATATGGTCGGTAATCTCAGGCTAATTTCTTCTATCCGGCAAAGCGTAGTCCAAGTCTGTCTTAGGGTTGTAACTGAAAGCATGGGACTGAGCAGAGGGTCAAGCGGAAAAACTTTGAGCCACATTACATGGATCACAAATCTGCTTTGTGAACTCTCACGAAAAGCAATTAAACCGCTGATGATACCTGAAAAAATACTATGTAGAGTTCAAATATAAATTCATAGGTATTTTTCTAAAAGCACACTTTATTGTCCGCTGAACAATAAATGTTCACGCCGAAATGATGCTTTTGTCGTTTTGGTTAGTATCTATTCAACATATATGTATTTCAAATATTTCTGTTTACGTTATCTACCTTAAAATGATTCATGAATAGCAATAAAATATAGTGGAGATAGGGCGAAATTTGAGATCAGAAAATTTGTTCGTGTAACGATTCAGCCGGTGTGAAGGGTCATTATTTCGAACCAATCCGAAGTCTAGAAATGGTCTAAACCCACGCGTTTTTATATAGACAAACGTATTAAACCAATGGTGTCGAAGCGGAACCGTAACAGGAAGCTGCAACGATATGAATGCGTGCAGTTTATTCCGTCTCTATTCATAAGTGTCTTCCTGGCACTGCAATACATCATCTGGTTTGAGTTGCAATACCAGGCATCTCTATAGTGCGTACAGTATCATTTCTTTATCAAATACGTTCACAGATATTTTCCGGTCGTTTATCCAGCATAACCTAATACGACAAGTAGTGTCAACCAGATTTGGGGTCGCTTTGGCACAACCAAATTATAGAAGAGTTTACAATGCATGACTTTTTTCTCAGTTGATGCATGTTCCTGAACGCAGTGAAACAAACTAACATCACAACTGAATCAAAATGACATACTTGATGTGTTGAAAGTTGCTTCCGGGAAGCCATCTAAACGAGAACGGGCGGGGGGAGGTGGAAGGATACAGTGGGATGACATTTCCAATTTCATAAAAAAATCCGCTCAAATCGATAAAATCAATGCATGCGTTCTATGCGATTTTTGCGTAATTCACGTGGTCACGTGATCACTCTGGTCTAGTCAGTGCCGGATTATAAATAGCAACAGTGAACAAATTAAAAAAACGAGTTTTTCCGCTTACCAATATTTGTCCAAATTAGGAGACTTTTAAAAAAAGTGATATAAAATATGTAATTGATAACTGGTCGCATTCTGAACCAGTTCATTCGAATTTATCCAAATGTTTCACACCAGAGACTGTAAACCTCTGCACTTTTTATAATGGATATTTATATATTTTCACTGTCATACCTTCGGATCTGCAGTCGAACAGGTACCCAATCTCTCTCTCCAACATACACACGCACACATTTATGCGTCATTTTGGGCAAACCAAGACGCATAGACAACAGCAACTAACACACACCCACAAGATCGCACATTCCACGGGGTGCAGAGGTATCCAAGTGTGCTTTTACAATTTAAAAAAAAAAACAATTGTTTTCTAGCAAACAAGATATTTTCGTTCACATATGTTCTTTTTTTGGGGGGGATAGTTTTTGCAGATAAAAATAAATCAGTCAACTACGGTAAATGTGTGAGCAAATACGAACGCGGTGACGGCTTAGCGTTGATGAACAGCCAACAACTGACCACGTATAACGACGTACCACGGGATAACGCAACATAGATACAGGGGTTTGTGGAACCAAACGGGCATTCTTGTGGTTAGTAATGCGTGTGTCTCTCCTTGATAGACACTTGGGGTTTCTACCATAAGCAGTCATAGAAGTTGATTATTTGATTAGTGAAAACAAATCATTCGCTTCTGTTGCCATCACGAGTGCTATGCGAACATATGTGAAATGTAATAGCCACTTGATTCACTAACTGCACGTACCTCATTAATACATTGCCCTTCTTGATTTTTCGATGTGTTGACCTGAAATTAAGAAATTGTAGTAACCAAATGTAAGGAGGTGTCGAATATGTATGTGTTCATATGTGCCCTTTTTCCCACGATAAACATATATTGAATCACGTGAAGATCGGCACTGCTCAGCGGTAGCGAATCACGCTCGATGACCAACACTGTTTCCAAGGTTGATCAACAAGCAGATTTTCAAAACACTCTTATTCGGCCAAAGGCTAACGCAGATAGTATCGTTCAGAATAATCAACTATCAAGACCTCCTCCCTATTTAGATCATTCTGCTACGGAATGCCTGGGATAAAGTAACTAAATTTGACCGACAAAGTGGTTTTCGATTGGATCTTCATCAATACGACCAACAAATTGTTTAATTTACATCTTCGAGGTCATTATTTCAGAATAAGTGTTCTCAGGGTTAAATTAGTTACTTTTGAAGCTTTCATTGTAGTGCTGCCCAAGAACACCAGAACGATACTAGCAACATATCGTCTTTGAGTGGCTTTTGAATTTACCCTAGCCTATCATCGAGTATTAGTACATGATTTTACAGCGGAGAACTGTATTATCTTACCGACTTTAACGAAAGATGTGCTGCAGTGGGTAATTTTTTCAACCATTTGTGTGATGCGAAAACTCTCATCTATTGTTTTATTTTATTATGAGGAAGAATAACTGTACTGTAAGCCCATGTTTCTTCCATCGCCCCTAACACACCCACTTTCCACAGCCAAATGTTTTCCGACTTTTTCTCGACACAATTCGTGATAGACTTTAACTAATACTTATGCATCACGGCTGGCAGTTTCCTATTCGTTGTGAGACCTAGCCTGACGGCAATTTCGTAAACATACCGGACATGTTACTCATAGAGCAAAGAACCTTGTCAGCACGTTCGACCAGTCCATGATTGTTTCATATCCTTCATTCCGTAGTAAGGATGTACAACCCCAACAAGCACATATAGTGTTCTGAACAATGGGATGGAGAATGTATAATCCCGATATCCTAACATGACTCAAATATACGATTTCCTAAATTGATTTGTCTGTCTTCTTTAATTCCACTAGTTCGTTCAGATGCAAACACCTCACCGAATAACTTAATTTTTGTTTGAATTTGTGTTGCTCTTTCGAGATTGTCTACATCCCGGCTTTACCGGGTTAATAAAAAAGGTATATATAAATGTCAAATGCATTGATATCAAACGACTACTGTCTTACATCAAGATGTCAACGACCTTAAAGCAACTCTGAAGCACACGTGAAAGCTCCTGTCCTCATGTGGGATAACTTAATCGACAATCATCTGCCTTATCTGCTGCTAATTCCTTACCGTTCACTTTCATTCTCCATGAAAACATCAATCCTATTTCTCCGACCAAAGTGCTCAAAGTATTGAAGCAGCCTAAATCGAACAAGGCTCATGAACCTAGCTCATCATTGTATAAACCTGTGCTAAACACCTTGCAACACCCATTTCTGCGTTATTCAATTAGTACCCATATCCTCCGGAACGATTACCGATTCAAGGAGAGCTGGTCAGATCAGGTCCGTCCTCAAAAACAACTCTTTGAAGCATCGATCGATTGTTTGTACCTCAGTCTTGTTGAAAGTCTGGGAACGAGTGCTATCGAACCAGATGACTTCCCTCTCTGATGCCCTGTTCAGNCGACTCTTCACATTGTTCCACATTTTGTCGATTCTGTGGTTTCAATTTTGGATAGGAATTGTGAAACAATTCCTCTCATTTTTCTTGATTATGCCACTGCTTTTGGTTTGCATAATAGTTGTATTATCATTGAACGTCTTGATAACTGCGGTTTAGGATCCAACTCTGTAAGCGTTCTTCTAACTTGCCTCTTCATCAGAACGTAAGCTACCTCTTTCAACGGTAAAAATTTCTCCTCTTCCACCTTCAACTCTGATATCTTGGGGATGACACATTTTTGCCGGTACTGTATTATCCATGGTATCCATACAAACGCATACAAACACAGACATTATTTACGCCTATTCTATTCCCTTGAATTGTGTGATTTTGTGGCATAAAACCCTGCCTATTCCAAACAATTTCATTGCTTGTGTGCATGCCGATGACGTGGTTGTTAGGTAATCCTCCACTAACGATGTATCTTTCCTCTAAATTCAAGACAGTTTGGAAAACGGTTTTAGTTGGTCTCAGACCTGATCGCCTATGCGAAATGTTTCCAAATGTGTTGATATTCCCATCCACCTTCACTCCGGCTTCCAATATCAAACTTATTTGAATGATCTATCTAAATTCGTTGTTAACAGTTACAGCATTCCAAACGTTGAGTTCGGCGTCCTTCTATCCTACAATCTCCCCTGAATCCGCAATTCGAAGAATGTTTACACTAGGGTTTATGAACCTTCCGCTTAGGCTTTCAGGCTTAGGACTACTTTCTTTTCTGCAAAGGTCATTATCCCATTTGTGGTGGCTCCCCCATGGGTTGTACTATTCCCGATACATTTTCATGGAAAAGGACCTTGTAATAATTTCCGACTCATCGAACTCCTTTCCCAAAAAGGTGATCTAGCCAGAGATGCACTAATTCCCGCATACGAAAATAGCGTCCTTCCTTATCTTGCCCGTTTTTTGAGCATATCTTGAGTAAGTTTGTGTAAATGTTATTATCCTTTTTGTGCTGGCTTTGTGCTGTCGTTTTTTACCCCTCCATACTCCTTTGCATCTTTTCTGTATCCAGGGTGTTAGACATCGAAAATATTCCTAATTCAACATTCTTGCTCTTTGATAGAGGCATTTTATGCAGCGCGATTTGTTTAAAAGTTTCCACACTCTGTTATCTATGGAACGAAAGCGAACCATACAACTAAATTCTCTCAGTTGTGATTATCGTCAAACATTCTTAACTCTTGTTGTGAATCAAATCTCAGCAGGAGACTCACGCATCTACGGACCGGTTACACAATCCAGTTCAACCTCTCAGTCCCACGCATACACACTTGCATAATCCATCGCTCTCACTAGCAAGTACTAAGTTGAATTGGTTGCACCTTCCATCGCTCGATGCTGATCAATCACAGTCTGAAACGGATAAACTAATCTGAGGCATGCACACTGTTACAGACGATTTACCGATCAATCACTCACAGGGTCCTTATGTTTCAGTCTGTATGGAACAGTCACTGACCGAACGATCACATGATCCTTCCGTATTCTTAAAACATGACTTTCAGTGATAGGCTAAAAGGAAAGTAGAAATGGAGGAGAGGAAAGTTAATTTTCCATTCTCTTGATGACCATTTATCAATCTTGAGTAGTACATTATTTCTGTGTTAATTTGCATCCCACTTTTCGGCGGGAGGGAATGTAGGTCATGTTTAACACGCTTTGGGTTTATTCTTTTAATCGGGCTTAGTGCGCAGACGGAAAAAGAGGAAAAGCTGCTCCGCTTTGTCAGATTAAACAAAAATGAGGGGATTGCAACTTCTGTACTCTTCTTCCGAACATGTCTTCACCTATTGTATATTCAAACAGCGACTGTCAAGTTTGGGATTTCGTATTGCTTTGTGTACATCCAATCTGAGATCCAGTTATCAACTGGACCTAAATTCGTGCTGAAGCTCACAATACTCTGAAAAAGCGGATTGTATAAGCCTTAGTAAGTTGATCGGGTAATCGAAATGTAAAAAACCACGACTGATAATACTATATGTGCACGAATTAGTGACGGGATGCGGAAAGTTGTCAATTGATAACAACGTTAAGGGAATCGACAAATCGGCGTACACACAACAACATCTGATTTGGAACAAAAACGGTAGATGCCCATTCGCTGAAATAATCAATTTGAACACGGTTCATTTCCCGATGTTGTGAGGAACCACCAATTGCGTTATTCGGTTCAATCCAAACATAATACTCACAAATATGAGTAGTATGTCACAACACTATCAGTGTGGCCTCGTCGCTCAGTTGGCACAGTGTGTGCTGCACTAAAGCGTAGACGGCATCCATGTGTGGGTTTAAACCACGAACATACCCCACCATCAAACAAATAATTGAACATTTAGAATTTACAGTTCATTATGTGATCACATTGCCAACTTTCCGAATAGCGGTTATGTGCTGGTGGTGGGGGAAGGGGCCTGAACGTGTGAATGCGAACAAAAATGATCGGCCATAGATGTGAAAGGTCAACTCTACTGCGAGTGAAACGATGGTCGTAATAAGTTCGGCGCGCTCCAAAGTAATCAATTTGGCCAAAGTTGCACAGATCCGCCAAACGAGAACAAAATTCTCATCGTGTTTACGCAACAGTGATTGTGAAATTGGGAAAGAGTCGGCTGTGTGTCTTGTTGTTCTGGCGATAGATGTTCACAACTGATGACCCCTAGGGGTGTTCAATGGTCTGTTTATTGGTTATAAATAGCTTCGTCGGTTATTCCAATCACTTTGCGAAGTGTTCAGCTGTCTAGTTTGGCAGCTGACCAATTTTTCTGCCTCTTTATGCTTCCCTGAGTCCGCTGGTGAAGTGTTACACGCTATGCGAAACGGAAGAGCTTAGCCAAACTTGTCCAGGTTTATCCAGATCGTTTTCTCATAGACAGGCAATAAGTATGAGTTCTGAAAATGCAACCTTAGCCTGACTGCAACTTTGGCGCATATCATTTAAAACGCAATCACTTGCAAAAGTTGATTACATTTAAATTATCTTTCGGAGCTGATACGTTCGGCTGGGTTACTTTTTTTAACGGTCTACTATGGAGGTGT